CAAGACCAGTCACAAGACTAGACACAAGACCAGACACAAGACCATTAACAAGACCTGACACAAGACCAGACACAAGACCAGTCACAGGACTAGACACAAGACCATCACAAGACCAGACACAAGACCAGTCACCAGTCCACATGGTCCAGACACAAGACCATCACAAGACCTGACACAAGACCATTCACAAGACTAGTCACAAGTAACAGTGCGAACAATGTCAAAGGAATGCTTTTGTTGCAGTTCAGTTGAATTGCTTGTGGCTTGACAGGAGGTCTTGTGCTGGTCTTGTGCCTGTCTTGTGAACGTCTTCAGTGGTCTCGACTACAACATTGATATGAACATGGTCACAATCACGCTTGATGTACATGCACCAGTACTTCCATATATTTTTCTAATTGATTTCATTCGTTGTCCACCGCATACATACAGTGTGTTCGCAAGCATTTTTCCAGTGCAAGGGGTAAAATCAAATTTCCCCGAGGCGTAGTGTCAGACATTGTGAATTCATGTACATACATCTTTGCAGTACATAATGCATGCTAAGAATAAGCTTGTTTTCTATCAATTCCAGTATTATGATGCACTATAAACTTAAAGCGAAACATGTGTTTGTGTTGCTTACACCAAGCAAAAGAAAATACCCATTTAGTGATTGTGCATTTAGGATTTTTCTTTGGTTAGCGCTTGACACTTTCCACCATATAAAAGCATGTAAATGTATGCTCGTACATGTAGTAGCGTCAAAGCAAGACATAACATTTTCCATAGGTTGTTGCACAAACATGGAGTTTCCTTCACTTTGCTCTGAGACTTAGCGCTCTGTATGGTCAGAGCCACTGATGTGCTGTTCCCCTTCCCGACTCTCCCCCCCTCTCCCAACACAGGGCCACTATCGGTTCGCCCAGTCCCTCTTTGAGCTGGGCTACCAGAAGCGTGCTGTGTTGTCCAACTCCCATGCCATCGACTACTGCAAGAAGTATAACCCCGAAGACCCCTACATCAAGGACCTGGAGGTGCAGCAAGATTGGTTTGAGGTCAAGCAGACAGAGAGGGTCACCTTGGACGACGTGCCGGATCTGGTGGATCCGTCCAGCTCAGCATCGGAATTCAGTGACTCTGAATCGGATGAGGTGAGTCGCTCAAATCTGGGTCCACAAAGTCTCTTGTTTTGTTTTTAATATAAGCCTTTTGCGAGTTCAATTTGAATAAAATCTGGTACACTGAGTTCTTTAAAATCATATGAACATATGCAAGTTACATTCTCCGGACTAAAGACACTGTTGCTATACCTTGTGATTCGTGGCAAACTTTTGCTTATTTACATAAGACAGGCCTTGCACCAATACACTGTTTTCAACGGATAAGAATAGCAGAAAGGAACCAGTCCATTCCAGAGGTGGTGGTCGCTATGCAAAAGCTTGCCCCGAATCACGAGGCATAGCAACAGTGTCTTTATTCTGCAGAATTCAAATGGTTGTGTTTATGTGCAATCAGGTATTAAACTTGGTGTACCAGATTTTTTTCCAATTTAATTCGCAAAAAGGTTTAAGTTTGATTACCTTACCGGTACCCTGTCTCCCTTTCCAGTTTTGCTAGGATGCAACCTTAATCCGACATGGTATAAAATCCTCCAACTGTTTTCTATCGGATTCTGCCTCAGTCATTGTCAGTCCTCCAAAGTCCTCCATTTTTTAAAAATGTTTTTCTTAGAGGGATGACCACTACCTCATTCCTTCAAAATCATCTGGCAGCTCCTGTCGATGTACGGTATTTCGAGGTAGTGACATATCCTGGAACAGTGTGGGTGATTTCCATTCTAGTCTGGTCCAAATTTGATGCAAGGTGTGGCCCAAGGCCTTGACGCAGTGCGTCATTCAAGCTCAGCCACATCTCTTTTGCCGTATAGCTGCAATCACATCGACAGTCTCAAAACCACTTGGAGGATGTTGGAAGTTATAGTCAATCAGTTCCGTTTTTGATCACTCACTCTGCAGGGGGATTTGTTTGTGTGCTTGTATTTTTCTTATGAAGATGAACAAAGAAATTGACTTTTGTGAAATGTGAACTTTGGCCTCTGGAACAGCGGTGCTCTACCAACTGAGCCATCCAGCCCTGTGTTGGCGACTCTTCCCCTTTGTCAATATCTCTGTTCAGAGGTGCTAGTCAGAAGCCGTAAAACATGAAACACCATACGTGTATAGCCAGGGATCCAGTCCCAAATACACGATGCAGCCTGGGAAGTGGTGAACGGGGATCACTCAGGAGGAGGAGCCACCAACGTACATGTAGGCTGGAAAGCCTAGTTGGTAGAGCACCGGAACAGCGCTCCAGAGGCTCAAATCACTCTCCAATCAATTTCTTTGTTCATCTTCATAATGACATGCAAGCGCCTATTCGGTTTCCCCATATGGTCTGTGGATGATATTATATTTCTTGTCAGTTTTAATCGACATTAGATGAAGCAGCAGATCTGTCTCGTGAATGTCAGACAGGATGCTGTTTAGCTGTAACAGTGTCGGTGTTTGCCTAACAGTGTGTGCTGCCCGCCTGTACCGTACCTTTCAAATTGCAGACACTTGTTTGTGATTGTCCTGTTTATTTTGTGTGTGTGAGATGCTTGTTAACATTTGGGGTAAAACTGTTTCGCTATACTGTCTGAAAAGAAGCTTTTAATTTCCCAGATTAATTTTCATCTGAAAGTTTCATATTTTGGACAAAGTGCTCGGCTGAGGTACATGTACATGTACTTTTCAAAGTACGTCTTTCCTAAATGTTTGTAACTATGACAACGCTTCCATGACTATGGGAATTTTGAGTCTCACTTTTTTGTGTAAATTCTCACCTGTGTGCATTTACACGTACCATCCAGTGCCAATGTTCTTCAGCTTTGTTTCTTCTTAACCAGTTCAATGTGTGGTAGTTTAGTTTTATTCTCAAAAAGTGCTTGACTGGAACACCGTTATGACAAAACTTGTACTGGTGCACATTTGTGTTGTCACAAATACCTGTACATGTACATGAAAAACAGCACCGGTGTGCTGTAGACAGAGGACTAAAAATAGAAAGTGGACAACAGGGGAAGGTGTAGTCGATGGGTGCGGGGTATCTAGAAACCAGGGGCCATAGCTTAGGGATATGGCCTAGGCCTTGGGGCTACTGCTTAGAGACCAGGGGCCATAGCCGGTGTGCTGTAGACAGAGGACTAAAAATAGAAAGTGGACAACAGGGTAAGGTGTAGTCCATGGGTGCGGGGTATCTAGAAACCAGGGGCCATAGCTTAGGGATATGGCTTAGGCCTTGGGGCTACTGCTTAGAGACCAGGGGCCATAGCCTAGGGATATGGCCTAGGCCTTGGGGCTACTGCTTAGAAACCAGGGGCCATAGCCTAGGGATATGGCCTAGGCCTTGGGGCTACTGCTTAGAAACCAGGGGTCATAGCCTAGGGATATGGCCTAGGCCTTGGGGCTACTGCTTAGAAACTAGGGGCCATGGCCTAGGGATATGGCCTAGGCCTTGGGGCTACTGCTTAGAAACCAGGGGCCATGGCCTAAGGTACATGTAGGCCTTGGGGTTGTTGCCTAGGGACTAGCTCCACGTAGTGGAGACAGCTTGTACTTGTTTAGGTTGGTGTTATTGCCAGGAGAAGATCCAATTAACCCTGACAACCCCGAATACTTCCAAGTACTACAGTACTTAGTAGTAAAATGTAAGAGGACATGACCTTATCCCTAACCGCTCAAGGTTTGTTTGCCCAAACCTTCCCCATTCACACAAAGTTAAACACCCATATGGGACTTTGTGCACAGAGGCTGTTGGACTTTGTTTTTCTGAGGTACATGTATGCCAAACCCAATGCAAAAGCCAGCTGTGATGGGCCTACCAGACCTATCCCCACAGAATGAAACACTTTACTACTGCTTAATTCTGTGCGGTTTGGGGAAGGTTATGTTATTGTCCTCTGAAGTCATAAAATACAAAGACAGTGCTCTGGCAGTGCTCTGTGAATGCATGGCTTTGTTGTTCTCTGTACGAGTAGCAGTGGATGGTGCCCTAGCCAGAAGTAGTAATTTGTAGGGCTAGGTCCTTCAGGCTCAGACTAGTATTTAAAGCCAAATTTTATGCAGAACTGTTAGGTAAAGAACTTAAACGATGTATTAAAAAACTAAATGAGAATGACGTCTTGTTTGAAAAAGAGGATTAATTTCAGTTTCTTTTACTACCAGGTACATGTGCCAGTGTGATCAGGGAAAACTTGAATATGTCTTCACCATGTATGCGTTTTATCTGCTGACACTAAATCCAGATGCACCTGTTATTTTGTACCTGCACACATTTTCTTGTGTAGGGGATACATGCACTTTATGCCATTAGTGCAGTGTCCATTTCAACACTTACAGCAATAGCTACATGTACATGTATGTAAATTGCGCATTTGCGTCACTGAGAGTCTCATCTTTGGGTGTCGATTTCCAAATTGGTGTTGGAAACGGAGGAAGTGATAAATCAATAGAAATTAAGACTAAACACATGGATTGAATTTATGATTTCACAACCTGAGACCTAGTAATTTGAAAGAAAGAAAGGAAGAAAAACAGTGTGACCCGCATTAAGCGCTTTCAGTTTTTACCACGAAGTGAATTTGGTTTTGTGCTGAGTGAAAGTGGTCATTTCGTTACAAGGGCTGATAATCTCTGTGAAATGGCACGGCGGGGTTTCATTCTCTGCAAGCCAGTGAACAAGGTGAACTGGCCTTAGCCAGTCACTTGTGTTTCATACATGTACGGTAGACAGGCGGAGCAGTCATGGAGGATGTCTATATTAGCTACTGCTTTGTGGCGAACGAGGTGCTGTTGGTTTTGGACCAGGTCCTGATCCAGTTCTTCATTCCTGGCTGTTTGTGTTACCTCCTGTTTTGCTTGGTTTATTCCCAAGTCACCCCTGACGGTATCAAACATGGGGTAAGGCATTCTCTGCTCAGGTTTTCTTGAGTCTGAGGCACTCGGACCTATCAGTATTCATAGTAGTGATGATCCACGCCGGAAAAGGATGTTGCCCTGTTTTTCACAGCATTGATGACTTGTTTTGCCACGTACATGTTCCGTTGTTGTTTAGACTACATGTACCTGGTATCCTGTGTCGAAATACAGATGTTGCGGATACCAAAAATGTTATGGAGACAAATTTTTACTCCTGTAACCATGGTAACTCAGTTTGGACTTTCCAAACAAAACAAAATAATTCCCTGAATGTACATGTAGTCATCAAGGTTTTCTCACACGTTACATGCATTAAAGTACATGTACATGTACAGTAACGTTTCCTTGTCATCAAATATGCACTGGTAAATTTGCTTTTGTCAGTACGGAAGTTGGTGGCAGGATTTGATTCCGATTTTTTCAACTGGTTTTGATTTTTGAAGCCGAATATCCCCCCCCCCGAAAAAAGTGGAAGCTGCCCCTGCAAGGAAAAAAACTATTTTTTTGTGTTTTTGCTCAGCCCAGTCTTTATATGCATTCCAGGAAAAACTTTCCTGTCTATATCACAAATACAAACACCGGTGATTCTGAAGGCGATTGCACAAACCCTACCCACACGTTGTACAGTATCTTATCAGGCACTAACCACTATAGCTCCATACCCGCTTCCCGAAGTTCCTGCTTTGCATTATTATTCCTCTTTGGCCTCGCCTTTCGGCAAAGGACACTGAGGTGCAGCGTGACTACCTTGTGCGTAGCTTTGGGTCTTGTGAAGAATGATCGTTAACTATAGGACCTTGCTACCAGAGATGGAATACCAAAGTTGCACATGTACATGTACTTTGCATTAGTGATGCGGTTTAGGGGTCACGATTGGAGGACGTACGGTACCGTCCTGTGAATATCTGTCACAGTTTTGTGCATTGCTTGTACATAACGTTTTTTTATATGTAAATACATGTATATTTTTGGGGTGCGTTTTATGCACTGTACCGGTACAATGCATTCGTGTGTTTCACATTGACGAACACAGAAATTGACGCCATTAACATAATACACTTGTGCGTTGTTTCCTGCCGTCAAAATCGCTCCAGTGCTTGACGGGTTTTGACGTGGACAAGGAAAGGCATCTTTACACATCAACTTCTGTGCACACTACTGGATGGCATATGTAGTGTTCTGTACTTGTTATTAAGTAAGATTTGAAGCTTTGCATGGTGGATGAAACATGAGAAGTGGGTCTGTGGGTACACCATAGAATCAATCTCTTTTGGACAAAGTGTGGTTCTTAAAGGAACCGGTGAGTATAAACTCGACGTTTTGGCCAGCGTGCTCTGGCCGTCCTCAGGAGAGTGTGCTGGACTGGACTGGATAGCTAGTTATAACTTTCCGGAAGCAGTGGAGCGTAGAACAGGATTCGTGGGTTGTGTGACTCACCGTGTGCGGTGTTGCGTGAAGGTGTTAGATCCTGGAATTGGTGGGAAATCTTGGGTTCGGGTCCAGGGGACCCTTACAGTACGCCAAGGGGAAGGGAGGGTGGCTTCGGGTAGGGAGAAGGCCCTAATGCCTGGGTGTGTGGCATGGGTTTCAGGTGTAGGGGACTCTACTGCCCGGGAGTGGGTGTCTGCTTCGGTGCTAGTAGGGGGCGCCAATGTCTTGGGGTATGGTGTTGTGCCGGACTTTAGCATGAATCTTGGCAAAATGACTGACGATTATTAACATTTATAAAGTCCAAAGTTTGTGACAGACTGTGGTCGTCGTGTCTTGACATTTAAAAAATTGGTATATTTGGCCAAATATGAATAAAAATTAGAAATGCATCTACGTGTAGCTCATAACAGAATAATGCCATCTACTGGTATCCATAGGGTTTTGTGCACAGTCTTCTAGATGTACCGTAGATGCCGTACGTATTGAAGTATACGCATGTACACACTGGTACTTCTTCTCACACTGAGTTTTCTGTAATGAGAAGAACTCCATGGCTAGCAGATTTTGAGTCCAGCCATCTGTGATGGACAGGTTGTAGGCCTACTACTCGTAGTACTTGTGGGGTCACTTTCACCAAGCTACCGGTATTGAGCCCAGAAAATTTGCTAAGAAGAAGGCACATATGCTAAGCAAAAATGGGCTACCAGGCCAAACGTCATGCAGTGTTGCTTAAGATTGGCTCCCCGGTCAATTTTGCTTTGAGCCACACTTTGTAAGGCAATATTGCCTGCTTAGAATCAACACCCTTTGTCTCGGTGTCATTCATCTATGGCTCTGAGTCCTAAACGATGAAAAGAGCGGGATTCTTTTGAGCTACAGAGTGATCGTCATATCCCTCAGGACACCATTGATTGAGAAGAAAACAAATGAATGGGTACTTGAGGCCTGTGGAGTTCCGAAAACTTTGCCGGCTGATGTTGCGGCCAGAGAATTGGCACACTTTATCTATGCCAGTGGGCATCGCTGGCTTCAGAAAACAATCATCCAAGGAATGATTGAGGGGAAACCCAAGAGAGGAAGACCTCCAGCAAGCTGGTTTGACGTGGCAAGATGATAACTGGAGCTGCCGTGGACCACATTCAGTGGCTTCTCTCATCCAAGCCATACTGCCGTGGAACATTGAAAGAGAGAGATTCAAGTCCTTGCCTTATTAATAAACAATCTGCTGTGTACATGTATGATTTATTGTTGGCGGCACCTTTTCTGTGGCTTGTTGTCTTTGCTAACAGGAAACTAAACAGGAGGAGGGTCGGAAACGCAAGGTGGAGGGGGAGTTGACCAAACTGAGACTGAAGGAGCTGACGTCCCTCGACAACAACACAGGCTTGATCAAGATCCCTCGCAGCCTGGTCCTGCCCGACGACTCCTCACCGGGCCTGCGGGAGCGACGAGAGGAGGAAGACCGGAAGAAACGGCTCCGGCGGGAGAGGAAGGAAAAGGAGGAGGCAGAGCGGCTGGCCAGGAAGGAGGCAGATCGGATGGCCAAGAAGGAGAAGGCAGAGAGGCAGAAGGAGGAAGAAGAGACCCGGAAGAGGGAGCGAGCCCAGGAGCAGGAGAGGAAGAGGAGGGCTGCAGATCAGAAGAGACAAGAAGAGGAACAGGCTAAGGTGAGATGCAGACTGAGAAGAGTTGACATTAATGTAGTTTCATTTTTAAAATGCTTCACTATCAGATCAATAACGAAGATTAAGAATTAATTGCTGGTTATTGAAAATCTGTTATTACACTTAATGAGGAAAACTACATGTAAACCAATTTATATAACGGGTTTTGCCCTTACCCAACGTATATATTAATAAACACTGTACGCTCAGTGCTTGTCCGAGAGCTTGCCAAAAAAGTCACATGCTTACTCNACCACCGAGCGTGCCGGGGTCGGCTGGCCGGTCTGAGTCAGGTGAAGCAGCGGGTACCGCGAACTATTTTCAAGATGTCTTTTTTTTTTTAGGTAAGAGCAAAACCCGTTATATAAATTAACATCTCCTCAACGCAAAAATACATCTTGAAACTACATGTAAACCAGTTATAAAAACGTACATGTACATGTATCTTATGATGAACCAGATCCAAAATGCCGTATTTTAAAGAGCTCTGGCTATGGCTATGAATAAAGACTTGACAAGAATAGTTCCAGTTTTAAGAAGGTCAATCCAGAGTAAATTGTTTCAAGACTGGCAAAAAATTAATATCTCTTACTATGTTGTCAAATATACATGTACGTGGTAATTAACCCCTTCATGGCGGGATTCTTTTGACCGTGACTGCTGGGCTGCGGTATGCCCAGTATGCAAAGCTCTGTCCAGCAGCATGCCCCATTGAACCAGCAGCTGCATGGTGAATAGACTGTATGTGTGGTATGCACTAATCCTCACTCAAAGCAGCGGCTGTCGACGTTCCCGGTATGAAGGGGTTATAAGTTTACACATAAAAATGAGCTGAAAAGTTGTAAGTTTTCCATTTAATCTTACTTTTTTTTATAAATTACAGGAAATATAATGAAAACAAAAACAGAAAAAAAATACGTACCAGAAATACAGATTTAAATTGTCCAGGCTGGATTCAAAATATATCAAATGTATTCACACAAAATTAATTGAATGTTTTGGGGTGAGAACTTTTTTCATTGGATGGCCCTCCATATGATAGTATGGAGGGCCAGCAACAAATTCTAACGAAACTTAACCCTAACCCTACATAATACTACAAATTACTAGTAAAATGTAGTACTGAGCGCTGTCGCTTGTAAGAGGACATGACTTTATTGTTCTGTGAAGCCATAAGATACAATAGATAAGACAATGTACCATACAGTGCTGTGGCACTATGAATGTATGGCTTTATTGTTCTCTGTACAAGTAACAATGGAAGTAACCTAGCCAGAAGTAGTAATCTGTAGCGCTAGGTCCTTCAGGCTCAGACTATTACTTAGTATTTTGTAGTACTGTGTAGTGTAAGCCAAACAGTATGCTTGGCGGTTAGGGTTAACGCAACAGTGTAACTTCACTTACGCCACATTTTATTGCATTTATAGTTTGGAACAAACTGTGAAGCATTTCACAAAAGTTCCTGACTACATGTATGAGATGCATGCATTGCGCGTCGCATTCAAGGAAACGAACACTCCTGACCAGCAGAGGGGGTGCTTCTGCTTAAGGGGGATAGCAGTCCGCAGTTTAGTCGAAGGGGCTTCAGCGTGGGACAAAGGGACAGTATGGAGAATTTGGGGTGGAAAGTTGGGAACACTGATGGATAATGTGACCTGAAGGGCTCAAAATTTCATTTTTCAATGGGAAAAAATATTTTTGTCACACATCTGATGTGATACGATGCACACATATGTTTTACATGTACATGTGTACATCTGATATATTGTAGACATGGTAGACATTTACTGTCTTGCTGGCATAGAGTGCAAGCTGTGCTTCCGCCAGTGACGGTCAGATACTGGCATCGCATTGACACAGTCATTCACTGAACTTTTGTCACCGACAGGTGTTAGAACTTGAGCGAAGTGAACTGGACAAGCTGCTACGTGCCGGTTCCGAGGCTATGCTGGAACAGCGAGGCCGACAGGCCTTCATGCACTACAAGCAAGCCATGGACATCATCGGCAAGTCGACCGTTCCGGTAGGTTACCGTACGTGTACTGGTAGGTTGAAGAAACTCAGACGGAGGGTACATTTTTGGATTGACAGGGAGTGCATTGTCCCAGAAACTTGTTTTGCAATTTTTTTTTTAAATTTATTTACACCGTGGCAGTGATTTCTGAGGATTTCCCAATTCATAACTCCAAAATTGTGGATTTTCAGAAATACTGTACATCAATTGTAAGGGTTGGTTTTTTGATGGCACTCTGACCACAAATGCAAGATTCAATCATAACCGTTCGGATAGAGCTCATCCCTCGTCAGCTCGTGGCTAGTACAAAACAAAACCTTACAGTGTTTTTATTGTCATTGCCACAAGCCCTTTGGCTACTGCATGGAGGTCTCATCATCCCTAAATCCTACCACTGTTGCACCAATGCTGCGCCCATGTATAGAGGTATGAAACACCGCCTTTATCCTGCTTGCTCCCCCCTACACTCAAGATTTCCTCCAGGTAGTGCCCATGCAGTACATGAGATGTGGACATGAGAAACCTGTCGAATGTAACAACTTGCTACTGTGCATTATGGTTGCGTGATGCATACATTCTTGTACATGTGCATATACTTGGGTTCATACAAGCTTGGTATGGGCTCTGGGGAGTACGTGTGAGCTGGAGGTGTATTTAGAGTCTTTGTGTAGCAATGTACTGGTACGCCGGTGGCCCATTTGATGCAACGGTTCCCACTAATTGCTCGTCTCTTGCTAGTGAGGGGATACATACGTACATGTATATGTACTTCTACACAAGAACACATACATGGACCAGTTATCTGGTTATGAATCGGGAAATCCTAAGAAATCACTGAAACGGTGTAAAGAAGAAAAAGAGATGGTTTTTGCCATGTGAAAGTTGCAATCTTGTATCGGTACAGAGCTCACAGTACACTGGAATGGTAAACTACATATAGCTTATTGCAACAACACAATGCAACGGGGATCAAATCTTGTTGCACACTGTTCAGATGTTGCAAGCCCATTGTGTAGGGTTTATGATAATACAGTACAGCACATGCTTTTGATATATCACTGTTTGTTATCATTATTACTGACAGGTTAGTAGTCCAACGGTGTGCAACAAGATTTGACCTGTGTTGCGTTGTGTTGTTGAAATGAGCTTCATGTAGCTCAGTATTCAAACAGCACATGCCCAATACAAAGCTCTTCGGGAATGGCTACGCGATAGTTTGTCCTATCAGCATGGCCACATGCTGACCCACGCTTTGTTCCCGAAAGGCGTTGGCTTTTTGAAATACCAAACTGGCTGATTAGCATTTTTGGGGATGAAGAATGCATCGGATCCCTCAAAACTGGTACACGTTGTGAGAGGCTAATATGAAGTTTGTTTTTGTTTCAACAGTATGGATATCTGTGTGAAGAGGACTATGTGACATTCCTGTATGCCTATGGTATGGCATGCCTTGAATCTGGCATTGATGAGGTGAATTTCTTGCCTAAGGCGAGACTTCTTTTTAAGTTCGTGCTCGGATCTGTCCCCTTTGCGGATTCAGTACTAGAAAAAATGAAAAACATTTTATTTTGAGAAGTCTCGGATCCGTTGACACAACAATTTACCAATATGCATGTAAGTGTAAACAAAATTATTTTTCTTGGTGCTCCGCCGTTCGACTGATGGCAAAGTCCCTGGTCCTTGGCTGCTAGGGCTAGTGGTAGAGATGCTGTTTTTGGTTTTGTTTTGTTTTTTTGTCATGTACATGTACTCATCCCTCCAACTTGAAGACCCTTTGTTTTCCCAGAGACCATACAAAATAAAATGATAATACCTTTTTCCGTCCCCCCTCTAAAATTTGCCTTTAAAAATTCCGAGCACCAACTTACCAGTATGAAAAACTTACCTGACAGTTGTCATTGTAGAATAGACCTTTTCCACAGGGAAACCATTTGTAATCTTGATCCCTGATTCAGTTTACTCTGTTCAATGAAGTGGTGACAGACTATTTAGGGTTCAAAGCCTCACTTTGAATTTTTTTCAAATGTAGCTTAAAACATTTAGATATAATTAATTGCAAATTTTAATACCCAGCAACTTTTTCTCTTGTTGCTGTAATTTTTACTCAAAAGTGGTAAGTGAACCTTACTTTCAAATCAAGATCATTTACATTTTTGTTGGCCTTGCTTGTTCCTAGTAGTTGCCAGTCTGCCAAAAGGTTTGGGAACAAAACCAACTGTGCTTCATCCCATACGTTCAATCATTTACATGTACTTTGTTCAAATGTAGGTTCATTTATTTAATAAATATTTAGCTAATAAATACAGTCTGTTGAATGCTGCGTGGCACCCTGAAGATTGTATGTTTTTATTGCAGATTTTTTCATTGAGGTGGTTTGGAAAGTACGTGTATATGTAATCAGCAGAGAATGACTTCAAAATCTCTGTGCTAACTTGAGAAATGTAGGAGCAGAAATTGAAGTATTTTGAACATTGAAATTCTGGAGACACATCCACAATCAATTCAAATGATGTACATTTTTGGCTGATGCAGTATCAGTATAAATTGGTTCAGTAGGTTTGGACAGTAAGCCTGCAAGATTGGAATGAGCAGTGTGTTCTTTCTAACTTTTTTCCGTCCATAACAATACGGGCAATTCACAATACAGTGCGCCAGTGTGTTCTTTGTATCTTTGTAACTGGAGGGGTGAGTAGAGCTGCGTGCCACCGAACAATCGGCCTTTTCACCGTGTAATTCAAAGCGTGCAGAGCTCGCAGGGCCACAAACCGAGAATTTGCGGTTTGGCAGGTGGCCTTCGTGGCCAAGCGAGGCTAGAATTCTTGGAGTCGGCTTTCGGGAAGAAATTCCCGTCGTCAAGGGGTTAATGAACACCGATACCCTAAACACTCCCGAATCTTCAACCCAGACTAAAAAAAACAACGGAACAATTCAATTTCTCCATTCATAGCGCAGCGGGCATAAAGAACTTTTTCCTGACCGTTTTCCCACAATGCACTGTGAAACGGGCCACTCCTTTGCAACCTCTTGGTAGCACACGGCATTGTGAATCCCCCGTATTGTGTTCCAGTGTGGAAACTGAGTAAGGGAATTTGTATATAACCTTTTTATTCCTTCTTTGCAGGAGATCCTTGATGCGTCAAACAAGTTTGAAATGATACTGGAAAACCACAGCAGAATCCGCACGCCTCTTCCTTACTACGGCCTCAGCTCTTCCCTCTTCAAACAAAACAAGTAAAGAGTTTGTACTTTAATTCTAGCAATGTCTGGATGTACGTGTCATACCAGTGTTACTACTGAGATAGACTCAAGCATCTCTTTACTTTGATTTTTTTGGGGGGGTCATGGAGGCAAAACTGATTTTGAGTGGATTTTCAGCCACAGACATGATATAAGAAAGAAAGACTGTTTTGTGGAAAGCCCTTTAAAGTCAATCGCTTCGTTGAGGTTTGCACGTTTTATACCAGTAAATTGGTTGTCAACTTTGTGGTACGAAATTTACACAGGTTCAGTGAGGTCTTGGAGCCACTCAGGAAGGCGCGTCACATGGTGGAGCGTTTTCCCCTAGTTGTGGAGACTTGGCCTGGCACCAAACAGAAGATCCCCGAGACGGAGGAGGGGCAGATGAAGGTGGGTTGCCGGCGGGTCTCAACACTGTTGTGTGCTTCTCTCAGTGTCGTCATAGCAGTGTCCGTCACGAATCCTTTCACGGGTCCTTTCGCAAGTCCAGTCACAAGTTATCAGGGTGAAAAAAGTCTAAAGAGGGCATTTCTTCCAGGTCAGCCGAATAGCTGAAATGCTCATGAGGGCGTCTCGTGATAGACTTCAAGTTGGTTTCTTTCTTTAAGTGCTGCTTTTTGTTCAGGGCCATCGACAGAATACCAGTTGAGCTTTTGTGCTGTATACAAGACATCAGAATCAACACTTGTTATTCTGTTGTGTTTTGTGATTAAACTTGGAAGTAGCGTCTTTAACCCTAACCTGCCCCAACCACACAGAATTAAACAGTAGTAAAGTGTTTAATTCTGTGGAGATAGGTCTGGTAGGCCCATAACAGCTGGCTTTTGCATTGAGTCTGGCATACCTCAGAAAAACAGAGTCCAACAATCTCTGTGCACAAAGTCCCATATGGGTGTTTAACTTTGTGTGAATGGGGAAGGTCAGGGCCAGCAACCCTTGGGGGTTAGGGTTAAAAGCTGCAAAATTGATTTTCTTCTGTTGGTGTCATAACATTCACGAGATTCTTTCTGGGGTGTTTACAGGAATGTGAAACCCATAAACATGAATGCAGTGCCCAAATCAAAACCCTTCTTATCCTTAGCATGTGAAGGTGTTTTTAAGACAGATTTAAGAGCTTAAAGCTGATGGCCAATGGGTATTCCTTCTGCCAACTGGCCTAAAAGACCCAGTTGATATTTTGGACAATGTACAATTATGACAGGTTTTAATAATGTCTATACAAATCATGACATGAACACCGTTAACCGTGTGTTAAAAATGGATACACCTGCTGCACCCTGATGGACTCTAATGTTCGTTCATTCTTCTATTAAAGAATGAACGCAATAAATGCATGCTGGAACACCAATTTTGCAAAATTTGGACTGTTTTCATGAAACGTTCTTTATTCACTGCACATGCATGTACTGTAGGAAGAGTGCCGAGTCTAAGATGAATTTCCAATCAATGGCCTTTTTACGAAATGATCAATTGAGTTGCTTTGAGATACAAAAAAAAAAGCCTTTAGGGTTAACTCGACATCAACGCTTCATGTATTCATTGTATTTATTCAGTAGTTAATTAAAAAATCTTTAAGAGCTGTGCAGTTGGTGGGAGTGCACCGACTGTGAGTCGTGCTATTTAAACCTGTATCACGGTCTCTTGGCATGCCCAGGCTGCCTTGGACAAGCTGGAAGAGGTCTGTCGCCGGCCTCCCTCGCCCGACGCCATCTGTCGCCTGGACTCCTGCCCCTACAAGCCCGAGATGTACCTGACAGACGTGGGCTTCAAGGGCTATGTCCGGGTGCAGTGCCGGGAGAGGTGTCGCACAGACTACCACATCCCCTGCTGGAAGAAGATCAAGGCGGACAGGTATCCCAACGTCACCCATGAGAAGGTAATCAATAATAACGGTGACTACGTACATATCCCGAAGCATTGCGACTCAAAGGAATGATAGTTGTTACTACCCCTGTTCGTCAGGCAATGAGACCAATTTACCATCTACCAATTGACGTGTACAGTGTACTCCAAGGTGGTGAGAGGCAGGCAGGAGTGTAACAGTACAGTGACCTGCCCAAGGTCACAAAATGTAACTTGGGGAGTCAGGTTGGCGCAGTGTTTCTTTCCTTGCCTCCCGCCTCTGGGGACCTGGGTTCGAATCCAGCTTGGTCCAGCTGTTGGATGATCAGTTATAAATAAAGATGTACAAATGTAAATAACTAGCCGCTACTCTTGACCCTATGATCAGGAGCCATAAGTCCCAACTAGACCATGTGCTGCAGCCACCCGTTAATAAAGTCATAGCCAAAGCCCACACTGGCAATGTTCTAGATGTCTAAGAGGTCTGGGTTTTTGTTAATCTTCATTCCAGGAGCTTTTGACCAAGACGTGTTGCACTCCGGACTGCGAAGGTGTCTACATCAGCATCGTCATCTACGGACCGGATGGCTTACCCAAATTAGAGGTCCGTTGGTTCAAATAACCTGAAACAGTAAAATACAAGATTCAATACATCAGGCTGTTCTTGACACTGCGAAAGTTTTGTCAAAGGAGGGGTATCTTGAAACGTTCTCTGAAAACATACTCAGCAGTCCAGGTATTGTTAAGTGCACTTTTAGTCCTCAACATCATGGTGTATCAAATCAGAAAATATACTCGCATGTGTAAGGGATATGAAAAGCAAAAACGTTACCGACCGTTGACCGGTCAGTCTTCTGTTCCTGCGTGCGCATGTGAGCGTGCATGTTGACAAGTAATGAGACGAGAGCTTGCTTTAGATTGGGATCAATTTCGTTGTGAGTTCGAAAGTGAGCAGCTTCTTTCGCTGGTTAATTTTTGTTCCAGCACCAACTGGAGGAGGCTGTGAAAACCAAGGAAAAGAAGAACAAGGGAATGAGGTGAGGACGTTGGAAGTTTTGTGTAAATGAGGGTCCCTGCTTAGAGGGAGATATGGCATATGTACAGTCATTTGCAAAAGGTTTGGACCACCCATACAAAATGCGTTAACCTGAAGAAAAACTAGCTTTAAACCAATCAATCATGGCAACGTATGTTTATTTTCAGTGTGTAACCTCAGTATCTTGCTTAACCCTCCTATGCGGAAGTCACTCTTTGGGTCACTTGGTAAACACCTCAAAGAAGCACAGCTGTGTTGTGTTGTGCACTGCACCAACTGCCCCTCACAGGAATATCAGATTGCACTTGTGTGCTGCCCAACAACTGTGCCTCACTGTTTCATGTGCATCNCCTGGGTCATTTTGTGCTGGCAACCAACTGTGTACACACTGAACCTGTGCATGTTTGTGTTCCATATAGAAAATACATGCAAGAGAGTGACTGTGGGCACTCGTGCCTATTTGTGCTGTAAAACCAAAGCAGGGTTAAACACCTATTTGACTACATTTCCACGATATGAAATGTTAACGGTCTAATATTCAGTGTTCCCTCCTTTATTTCTGATTACTTAGACTGGCTTTCTTTTACCCATGCTGCCTTAAAGACAAAATGTCATACAAGACCTGCCTTTCCAAAAAAATTCATTTAAACGGGTATACATGTACAGAACTACACTGATCTTATGAAACATGTTAAGGAATCAATCAAGGAGACAGTGTAATGCAGGCCCAGTGACAGAAATACTAATAAACTCCAGGTGGTCTTCAACTTTTGCAAATAAGTGTAGAATATGCTCTGACATCGTTGCAAGGTCATGTGGGTCATTCTATAAATTTTGGGTCTAAAGTGTGACATTTTTCCATCCCTATCAAGAACACGTACATGTACCTCTGACATGTATACTGTCTGATGTGTTTAAAAAGGGATGTATCACTGAAATTTATTTCAAACTATTTTTATTTGTTTGGCAGGTAATTTGCTGCAACTTATTTAATCTTGGAATTTAAACATTGAGTTCTAAACATTAAAAATCGTATGCTAGACGTTACAGGGATGAGAAAAAAATTGGACCCCAAATTTATAGAATGATCCATATGGACCGCTGTAAAAAGTGTCAAATCTTTGTCCTTCAACATCAAACTAATATCGTGGTCTGTCGTAAGCCCTTTTACAGGGCCAGCCACAAGTCCCTACGCAAGACCGGCCACAAGTAACAGGCTAAACAATGTTTAAGTACCAGTAATTCATGATTGTCACAGTTCATTTGCATGGCCTGTGTCTTTGCTGAGGACCGAATGACCTGTGATGGACTTACAGGGACTTGTGATCGACTCGACCACAACACTACCTCAAATAGACCTTTATCTTGATACTGTCATGTTTGTCTTGTTTCCTGTAGACCCATTGGCAATAGAAATACAACTTCACATATTGATAGAGGGGAACAGACGAGGTTTCCTTCCAGCCTCAATTTGATTATGTTACATTGAGTGTTAGAAAAGCAAGATGGTTACCCTTTTGATTGAGGTCTATAGTGTTACATAACAATAATATTATGACTGTTATAGAATAGAACTTGCACTGCTGGACTATTGGACTGAGCCCTGCTACTTATGTTTGGACAAATTTATCAAAGGTTGGAAAAGGCTGTCCAATATTTTACCGGCTAGGGGGCACCGACAGGTGCTTTGCACACACAGGGCTGTCTAGTCTACCCTCAAATTTGCCAAACTTTGAGCAGGTCAGAGCAAGTTGTATACTTCGCTGTTGATGAATTTAGCCATTCATTTGCATATCTGCAAATTCAACACTAAGCCATGAATGATGCTCAGAAAGGTCAAACATTGACTTCCCTTCTGTCGGCACTGTTGCCTGGAAGGTTTATTTCAAACGGAAATTTGCCCACCTCACTTTCCTTTAAAGAAAGTGATGTTCTCTTGACGCTGCCATTGTTCTGTTATTTTTTCACCCATGCAGCAAGTCGCAGGCAAAGAAAAACCGTAAGACCCGCAAGCAGGATGCCGCTAAGAAGCAGAAGCACTCAGAGAAAGGGCAGGGAGACGAGGAGAACAACGGCGAAGACCAGGAGAGTGTAGAGAAGAAGAAACGTGAGTCCAGAATAGACCTTGTCCACTGGGAAATGGCTTTCAATCTTGTTCCTGAATCTGTCATATTCAGTCTAATCAGGATAATGCCAAACTATTTCGGGTTTCAAGTCCTCACTGCCAGTTTTTTAAAGTGTGGCTTAAACATTGAAATATAATTTGATATCACCAATTTTTAATGATCCTATGTAAACTGGCATCACTTTCAATTCAAGGCCAACATCGTATTCAGCAATTTTCTCTGCTGGCAGCTCTTTCAAAGAATCATCCTTGTGATGAACTGTCCCGTGTTTCTACACGTATTTCATCCGCATGCAGCAAATGGCAGGAAAGGGGAAGAGGACCCGGGCACATCGCCGGGCCTGGAGTCCCCACGCCTGACCACCTCGGACGCTTCCTCCGTCTCCAGCTTCCACACGGCCGACGGAGAGGATGACGAGAACGAGGACGAGGAGGAGGACGGAGAAGATGGAACAGAGGAGGACTCGGAGGAGGCAGAGGTGACGATGGATGTTGCGACCTTTGTCCTCAAGAAGGACAACCCGGAAGAAGAAGCCCCGGTAAGGGGGGGTGGGGATTTTCACAAGGCTTATGAAAGAGACGCCATTACTACAAGTTGTTGCAACAGAGGTTACGATCTGCCGAATCTGGGTGATATTTCAAGTTTTGGTGCCTTGCTATCTGCCAAAATTAGCCGATACTCCGAGTTTGGGGACCGAATCTCGAGACAAGCTGATATCTTGATTCATTGCAACTGCAGCACTACATCCGTGCACTGTTGGCAAAGTTGCAGCGCCTTACCCGTTCTGAACGGGAAGCAAGAGAGGGTGTGTTTTAATATAGCAACAAGGGTCCATTGATGGGAATCCACTGCCTACATGCAATGGTTCAGAGGCGTGGGACATGTGGCTCAGCTCATGTTTAATTTGTGGGTTTTGAATGCCTGGTCTTCACGTGTGCCGCATGCACATGCAACATCCCAGTTATAAAATCCCAGCCAGCCTGTCCGTCCTTTGCCAGGATGGCTGCACTTTAACCTTGGGCAGATTGGCCAAAGATTCATTTCTGGAATCAGCCTTTGTGAGCGTGGTTCCACCGCAGTGATCGCTTCTAATACTTTGGGCAGGGTTGGTCTGTGAAGCCGTGCTTCATGAACAAGTCAAATCAGCAAAGTCCTGTCTTTATTATGCTACAGTAGCAAGCAAAATGCAATCCATCTTGAAGGTTCAGGCTTACTGCATGGATTGTCTTCCATCTCCAGTAATCACAGGGCTTATTAAAAAAACAGGAGTGGGGCTACTTTTGGTAGAGGGCATCCAACTTGCTGGTTTCTGTAAAAACAAGTTGGAAGTTTATTTTTGGGTGGAGGAGTGTTTTTGATGGCCTGGGCAAAAAAGGCTGGCTCAAAAGAAGCCAAGGGGTGTCCTTGTGGTCAAGGTGTTTGTGACTCCTGACCAAAGGGTCAGTTGTCTTTGAACTTTGAACCAATTGAACTTGTTATGTTTCGTTTCTGTTTCAGACCAAACCTGCCAAGTCCAAATCAAAGAAAAAGAAACAAAAGGTAAAATCCAGTTTGTCGGTTTTGCAGTTTAGTTCCTTTTTAAGTTTTACCAAAAGTACGTTGCATCCTGTCATGGAGCATGGGGCAGACGGGAATTAGTGCAAGGAAAACAATGATGTTTTGGGTTTTTAGGACATCTCAAGGTACAAGTAACACCTTGAGGTGTAGGTGGCATTCTTCCATGAGGGCTTTTATTATAGGTTTGAAACTGAGTATTTGGAAACAGAAGGACCTTGGAAATATTGAAGCTTTGCAAAAATACTCTAATTGGAGACTGATTCAAAATTTATTTGTCAATATGACCCCCCACTCCACGACCAGGCTGAAGGCTTCCTAGCTATTACTAAGTTCCCCAGGGCAGCCGGTACAAGGAACATTTTTCTGATCATTTCCCTACAATGCACTGCGAAACGGCCTTTCCATCACAACCTCTTGGTGGCGCACTGCATCGTCAATCGCCCGTTTTCAAATTCACAAATTTCCCTGCTCGTAACTCGGAAGCATTCTGCAGAACAAGTTGCATTGCGGATCATTTTGACGTATGAACCTTGCCAGCGGGGAGAGGAACGGTTAAATATTAATGTTCCATGTATCTCCTTCAGCCTGGTTTTGGAATGATGGGTCATAAATGTTTGTAGCCCTCTTGATGAGTTTTTCACCTCACCGCAGGACAAGACATCCATGGCCATCGATATCCAGTTCTCAGACTCCTCACAGCGGCAGAGGTTTTCTGCTGAGAACGTGGAGCCTGCCAAGGGGGCACAAGGGGGGTAAGTTTGTTTCCACCCAGCCAGGGGAACCTATTTGGCAGATACTGCAGAACTGAAAGGAGAAATTAGCTGAGCCCAGAGTTGAACTTTGAGGTTGATGCTGGTTGTGTATGGAACAAGGCATGTGTGTTGCAGTTTCTGCCGATAAGCCTAGCTCTTTGGTCATTGATGCCCCCAAAATAACAATTAGACTTGCCTGTCAAATTCGTCTGTCACGGTGGGATGTTGACTCTGTTTAATCTGTGATATAAATCAATCAATGTAATTTATCAAAACAACGTTTCTGACATAACATTCTGGAATATCCGTGTGTTATACTAAGTCATGGATACAGTATGCAACATAAATTGACTGAGCATTACAAAGCACATCGTTAGAAAACTGCCTACACTTTGGCAGAAAATTACAGCAAAATAATCACACTTATAAAGTTTAGTACTAGAAAGATTAACTCACGACTCTACAGAGCTTATAGGCTGTCACCAAGCAGCAGAACTGCAGCTCCAAATCAGTCATTTAACAATGTTGATTTAGACTTACTCGTTGAGGCTTTCTGCTGAAATACCCAACAATGAGAAAGCAAAATGTCGAACATGACGAATCCCAGGAGTTGTGGTTAAACCCACACACGTATACATTATACATGTACAGACTGCATGATGCACTCACTGTGACCTAGATGAGTATACACTTTGGACCCACAATCCGAGAACTGGTGCCTCGGTAGGCAACGCCTACGGACTAATGAATAAATCATGCACCCAAGGTCAAAGCTGAACCTAATACGGTTTGACAGTGTGTATCTGCATTACAACGTGCTCATTCCAAAGTGCTGAACGTAGACAGCTCGAAACATGCTCTTGCAACTGCTGTTAAGCATAAGAATCTAATGGCTACGGCTGTGATTAGGCTACCTGTCTATGGGCAGTAGCCACAGCCATAAGCCAGTGAGCTCTTTTTGAGCTTTTGCTACTGTACATCCAGCTATCGGACATTTGTTCAAGTGCCCTGCTGAATAGACTTTATTCACAGGGCCTGCCATATTGAATTTGAAAGCGAGGTTAACTCTTCATTTTTGAATGTTGAGAGTACAAATGAAGCAATAAAATGAAATTTCACGACCAATGTCCACCTGTCTACTCCGATGAATAATTTTAAATTCATGACTGAACACATAGAATTGTACCTTGCCAGATTCCAAAAAATATTGAAAGGGAGGCTTGGAACGCACGGAAGTATATAACAGTCTGGTGCCATCCTAATCGACAGTTTGCAATATATACAACAGATTTTGGGGATAAGATCAAAAATGGCCTCCACGTGAATAGTGTCTATTGACTGATACGAGCAGTAAGACCAAAAGATCTTTCTACACACTCAGGCCAACGGAGTCGGATCTAAGCTACTAGTTTTACACCAGTTTTCTGATAAATTAATTTGATTTCTCTTTGATTTCCTAGTACCCGATCTTTTCCCGCCCTGGATCCAGACAACCCATTTGCTACTCCTCCAAATCTCAGAGAAGCAGCCATTGATTTTGAGCGCATCTTCCAACCGGCAAAATCGTCGGGTTTCGCCGTAGGCACTGACAAATCGGAAGATGAGAAAAGCCAGATTGCAGCCTTACACCTGTGAGTTCTTGCATGCATTCTATTCTGCAAGCTTCGGGAAACCCGCTGGAGAGCCTTTGTTTGTGTCAAGATTTTTGTTTCTCTTTTCGCCTGCTTCTTTTTCTTATTTTTCTCCTCCCAATTCCCGTAGACTTGGCACATACTTTTTCCAGGTGGTACTTTGGCCAGTTTTTAAACGTTCAGTCTTTAATCAAACCTAAATCAAGTGGAGACCCGAATCTGAAAATGTGCACTGAACATTGATATCACAATGATGTCTTCAGAAGTCATGTGACAAGCCTTTAAAAGTCAATTTTCGAAGGCCAGTAACTCTGATAGTGCAAAGTCCATTTAAGAAATTACTTCGAACGTCCTGTGCAGTTACCCCCAACAAAGTTTTGAAGAAAATTTGGTCATTACTATAACAAGCTACTGAACACAATAAACATATAAAAAGTGGAACGTACTCCAAGAAAAGTAGAGAAGTGGACAAATGGTTGGAGTTGCTGTGTGTTAAACTTTGTGCATTTGCAAGTTGAAATCTTGCCTGGGTGTTGCATTTATTAAACTCGTGTTTCCTTCCAAGTATGAGCCAGCTCGTTACCCTCACAGGTTGATATGAATGCTAAATGTTCTCCATTTCTCAGGCATTTTGAGGAAGTTCTGCAACGTCTGGGCCCCATGCCCATCACGGACACGAGGCTCGGGGACGAACTCCAACAAATGCCGGCCGAACTGCAAGCTGTGGTGCTTTGCTTTGGCGGCCTGGACAGATTCCTCCTGGATTCCCCAACATTCGGGATGATCGAGGATCACGTCTGCCTCCGGAGGGACATCGCCAGATGCCGGGAGGTGGTGGAGGAGAACAAAGCCCTGAGAGCTGGAAATCTTCCGTCCTCGCTTACTACCTCCTCAAAGAAGCCTCACAATGCTAAGGGAAACCACGGGCTGTACTGGAACAGCTCAGGTGCCAATTTGACTCCGGATGACTTCCCCTCCATCGGAGAGGTGGTGGTAGATGCTGCGACTCGGCCATATGGCGAGAAGAAGCCACACATAGAAACAGCAGGAGCAACACCTGCTCCGGAAAATAGTATAAATCAATTGGACACATTTGACGACATTGCAGATCAGGAGCAACTCGGTGAGGAGCAACAACTCAAAGTGGAGGATCATGTCGCAGAAGAGCAACATCCCAAGGAGGAACAGCGACTCAAAGAAGAACAAGTCAGAGAGGAGGAGCGACCCATACAGCTGAAAAGTGAGCAAGCCATCTTAGAGTTCCATAGACTCACTCAGGAGCGGAAACGACAAGAGGAGCAGAGACTGAAAGACGAGCAGCGACTGAAAGACGAGCAGCGACTGAAAGACGAGCAGCGACTGAAAGACGAGCAGCGACTCAAAGACGAGCAGCGACTCAAAGACGAGCAGCGACTCAAAGAGGAGCGCCGCAAAGAGGAGGAGCGGCTCAAGGAAGTGGAGAGATGGGACCGCATACGGCGGCTCACAAATGAGCAAACTGTCTTGGAGATCCAAAGACGCACTGAAGAACAAAAACGAGAGGAGCAAAGAATTGAAGAGGAGCGGCGGTGCAAGCACGAACAAACACTGGTGGAGCTCCAAAAAAATCTCCCGGAAGAGGATTACCAGAAGCAGAAACACAAATTAGAAGAGGCCTTTAAAGCAGAGACGAGGAATCGAACTGAGGCTAAGTCTCCAACAAAGCAGAAAGGCATCAAGACTCTGATTTTCACCAAGGGTGGCATCCTGAATACGTTTCTGCAAACGGGCAAATCTCTCAAAGAGAATCTGGAACAAGATAAGAATGTAGCCCATTTGGCCAAGAATTTTCCGCAAGGGAAATCCAGTTCCAAGACTAAGGTCAATTCTAATAAAAGAACTAGTGATAAGGATACTGCTAAGACTCCTGCTAGTGCCGCCAAAAGCACCCAGGAACCAAAATCATCTTTGTCAGTTAATGCTAAACCCTTTATACCAGCTTCGTTTGCTAATAATGTAGTAGAAATAAATTCCACAGTCACTAACAAGGAAAAAGACATTGCACCAGTTGTTTCTAGTGTTAAATCAGAGTTACAAATAGGGGATATTGAGGCACCGTCAGAATTACAGTTACCTGTTTCTCAACCTGGGAATTTCAATTACATAGGGAGTGGATTTTCTTCATCCAGCACAAGTGAGGAATCAAGTGAGAGCTCGCTCAAAAGTGAGCAATCCATGGAGCACTGCGACTCGCAGAATCTCTCCGGGGGCTCTCTCAAAGCGAAGGAAGATGACTCTTTGACTGCATTTTCTCAACAAAATAGCACCGAAACTAAAGAGGGCTGTAATGAAGGTTTAGATGAGCAAAGCGAATTGGAATCATTACTGCATTCAAACCCTGTACCAGATGACGGCACTTGCGTGGACACAGTGTGTGTCATGGCAAGTAATTCCACACCTGCTGAATCCCCTCGTAATTCAGTCGATGAGAATAAATCAGCCGACATGACAAACCCCGCTCCAGATCCCACCGCTGACACCTTTACTGCTGCCGCTGCCGCCAGTAGCACAAATGATGAATCGCAGGCAACTCAGCTGAGCAATCCGGAGTACCCGCTTACGGTCACCGCCGAAAAGTACCACAACCTGTGGAAGAAATATAAAATGCTGCACGACGCTTTAAGAACTTTCACTGAACGGAAGAAGGCCATGAAAAGTTCCTGGACCCAGTGCCCCAAAGTGACTGTCAAAGCCCGCGGCATCATGACCGGACCCGATAAGATTTTAGAAGAGTCCAGAAATAATGAATTCCGCTTGCAGGTATGTTTATTTTTAAATTGGCACATTATATTCACTGTAAACATACATGTAAATCCACTCTCTTTTTCTGTGTTTTAACTACATGTAGAGGGTGGCGGATGTGTCACACCTTAAATTGAACCATTTTGCCATTGTTAATCCAATTAAAGTCCTAATTTTTTCCCAAAGTATGAAAACCCTTCAAATATTTTACACAGATCAGTTCTAAAAATCTTGACACCAAAATACTTCCAATATTTCAACATTTTCACCAAACAATTGCAAGAATTCCTTGCAACCCCTTTTTCTTACAGTTTAGGAGGAACACACAGACCCTTGAATGTCACCATGATAGCTGGAAGCGTGCTGATAGTCACTGCATTTATCATTTCCTGTCTCTCCATCCCCAGATGAATCTGAAAGATGTCACTGACAAGCATTCACGCCTGAAAGACCGATATGATACTGACCTGTCTCGGCTGCGAGACGAGGTCAAGAGGCTTACGCAGACAAATACAGTAAGTCAAGAAATTGTAATCCCCCCAAATCATTTGAGATCAAGCATGTCCAGACAGATGGTGAGCTCTCTCATCCAAATCTTGATGGCGAGGTTGCCATCATCTCCCTACATTCATAGCAATCCAATGCCGTTCAGTAAAATCCCACGGGTCATTCCTTGTGCGGCCACCAAATTTGGACCTTGCGACTTTTTGTCCCAAATCTCTATCCTGCAGAAATACGAGGCAGAGCAATCCCGAATGGGGCGACAGCTCCTGGAGACCAGGAAGACCCTGGAGGCAGAGCAGAAACGCTACCAGGAGGAGTTGCAAGAGAGGGATTCACAGATCCACAGTCTGAACAGCAAGATGAAGAGGTGAGCTGCGGATGTCTCAGGACCAGAGTTACATGTATATGTAGTAGAGAGAGTAGCACCAACTTCAGAATTTGGAACCAAAATGGCTGTTCAATATGAGCGTAGTACAGCTTAGAGGTATTTGTGTGTTCATTGTCCATGTGCACTGACGCATAATCCACCATTTTGGTTCCAACAATTGAGACGCTCATGTCGCAACTCTCTCTATAAACAGCCCTGGTCAGGACCATCCCACCCGAGCTGTTACAAATTGTTGATCTTTTTTACATAATTTAATGGCAAAACATGCATGAGCAAGAGAGTGCCAATCGGCCCATCAATATTTGTTGGTACACATTTTCCATGAATGAGCTGATTTCCTCATTTTGTATCTTCAATGCATGTCCTTACAAATTGAAAAAAAGCAGAAACTGTAAATCTCCAGCAACTTGGAATGCCCTCATGCTCGTCTAATTTATTTGGCCGAATCAAAATGTTGATTTGTTCTCTTCAACAGTCTAACCACCCAGATGACCTCTAAAGACGAACTTTTTGAGAGTACGCTTAAAACCATTAATACTGAGAGGTATGTTGCTGTTATTGCAAGATCGTATACTTCAAACAAGAATCTGGAATACTGACTAGGTGCTTGATCAGTATCAGTTATTATGAAGACAAAGACATTTACCTGAGTGATTTTCAGACTAATCTACCAGTGCTCTCTCAACTGGGTTCATAAGGGCTGTGTTGGTAGGTTTTTTTGTTTTGTCAAATTTTTTTTTTTTGGGGGGGAGTGTTGCTATTCATGAGCCATGAAGCCTGTACAGGGTTAACAGCCATCATGGAAATCAAGGAAAGCTTGTAGTATGAAGCGTCCTTTTTCCAGTTAGGAAATTTGCCGGAAATGCCTCAAATCAAGAAAAAATCAGGGAGTTTTGTTTTCGTGAAATGCTTGAAACCTTACCATAACACCATAATTATAGTCAACTGGTGTCCTATGAAAGTTGTTGTTAAAAACCTGACGTTCTTTTTTTCTTGATCAAGAACAGTCTTGTTTGCTGATGCTTAATAAACGAAGTAGTATTTTGTCAACGTGATGGACGGTTACGTCTTGCCTTGCGTTTCATTTCAGGGACTTGTGGACTGCAGAGAAGTTGAAATTGGAGGAGGCAGCAGCCAACCTGGAGAAGAGTCAGCAGTCAATACTGAGAAGATGCCAAGATGCAGAGGTAAGCGCTACGTCCTTGGAGCAAGATAGTTTGGAGAGAAAATGGCCCTGTGGCATTGACAATTGGCCTACAGCTGCACAGACTGTGGCATGCTTCGTTGGATATGGAAGCCAGTTTATGTCCAGTTTCTCAGGGCACACTGTTATTACCATTGCCGATCCTGGCAGTTTGGTTTTGAGAGTACGCTTATCAGATGGAAATGTGGAGCGGTCTGGGGTACAGGAACACCTTACAGAGGTCTGTCTGAGAACGTCAATTTCATCCAAGGACAACAGCCTTATGTCATATTTCTAATTCTGATTACATGTGACGGATTTTGTCATTTCCTGCATTTACAGATGAGCGTGCTCAACATGCGATGCGCCAAGGACGTCGCCCCACTAGAAGCTGCCATCCGGGAATGCGAGTTCCACATCAATAGTTGCCAGAACACGCTACGGAAGTGAGTCACCCCATGAGTCTGACCTGGAACAATTTAAAAGGGCTTCTGTTTCAGTTGCAAATACTGGTCTGCCTGCAAGGCATTGTGGGAAAAACCTAGCATCCATTTTCGTAGCCATCCTGGGGTCTATTGTTTGCAAGTACTGGTACATGTAATCTATCCCAGAAGGAACCTGCTTGTGGTTTTTAATCCTTCAGCTCTATACAACGTTTACACTAATCCGCTTAGACCCCTATTTATCTGTGGAAGCATGGTGGGGGAAGCCTTTCATCAGGGACTTTGAAATGCCAATGTGCAGACAGGCCTGATACCGGCCTGGAGTAGCCTGAATACCGGGCAGGCATTATACAGGGTGGGCTACCGTGGGGCCCTTTTCAAACCAGGTCTAAACGGTCGCCGGCCCTAACATTTCTGCAAGGAAGGCCTCTTGACATGTTGACCAAACTGCTGTGGTCCCGTTCTGGAAGACTGAGCAGATGACTCCTTGTTGAGGTGATTCCAGCAACCATAAACAAGATTACACTTCTCAGTTGGTATTGCGATAGTCTGCATAACCCATTGGATGTTAAATTTGAGGCAGATGCGTTCCTGGGATCATGGTTCAAAGAGCATCGAGTGTAAGCATTCCATATCTGTGAGGATGTGGTTCTAAAAATATGCAGAGAAAGAATGTCACTTTGAATGATTTCATTGACTGATTATTTTTTGTTCTTTCAGGAATCCTAATGTTGGCGACAATTTCAGAGAATTTGGCGCAGCCTGGGAGAAATGCCTCAAGGAGAACCAGATTCTGTTAGCATCACTCAAGGTCTGTATTAAGAGCACTAAATGCTGGAATATTAAATTTCCACCTGCACTCTTCCTCAGGGTGTACTTTACATACCAAGCCTGGAGTTATCCATGCTGTTCCAGATTTTGTGTAAAAAATGGCCTTGTGTGTGACTAGAATTTGTGCCCACGTCTTTACTAGCACAGACTATCTGGCCACTTGACTGCCAAGGTTTGCAAGACGAGGCAGCCTTGTTGAGTTCAGTTTTCCGTAGTGAAAAGGATATCGGATTTTTGTCACCATAGACTCGGTAAGCTTGTCAATCCAAAATAGAATGTTATGACCAGTGAGTTTGGGCACTCTTTCGATAAAAGCCTATACACACAAATACCAGATCTGGGAAGAGCAGGTTATTCATTAGTGTGTGGTGTCTGTTCCCCGTAGGCCTAGGAGCCAACTTCCTTGGCTTTACCAGGCCTGAATTCTCATCTCCCTGATCCCCCCCTCCAGAGCTTGGCTGGGAAAGTCAGATTTCTTGGAAGCTTTGCACGCATGCAAAGACATATGCACCCAGTATGAGTAGATTAGAGAAGTTTCCATCCAATCACAGCAAAGGTTTTGTTAAGTAAGATTTGAAGCTTTGCAAAAAAATTCTCTTTTGGGAAGAGGTTCTTCTCAGAACCACACCTCTTCCCAAAAGAGAATTTTACATGGTGTACCCGCAAACCTACATCCTAAAGGTTTTGTTGTTACAGCATCTACAGTTCCCCATTCATTTCTCTCCTTGCTCAACCTGTTCCATTTTTGACATTGGTGTAAACTTTTTCTGCCTTCCTTGTTGAAACCTTGGAGGAAGGACACAGGAGTTACGACTCTGGCACATCAAATTGCTCGATGATCATCGCTGCCCGGTCAGACAAACTATAGTAAACAATCCAAAAATGCCTGATTACTGCCTGCAGCTTAGCTAGATACGTGGGGCCAGTAATATCGTAGGAATATTCGTGGAGTTGTCTTCGCAATTAACTGCAACTTGTCGCAGTGACCAGGAAATAGAAAGAAAAAAATCTAGCATTAGATTTACTTTTGCCATCATGAATATGTTTTTTTAAGATTTTGATGCCTTTTCCATTATCCTTGCAATGTTTGTAATTTTATTTTGTCACTCCAAAACACCAGTTTTCAAAGTCTTTCTACAAATTTGGCTAAGACTGGCCAACAACGTGTTGACCACCACAGGACAGTTAAGTTCAAAAAAAGCAAAATGCGCTGTTTCATCACAAGGAGTGATCATGACATCTCATGAAATACCTTTCTTTGTGTAAATTCAGTAAAAAAACAATTGAAATAAAACACAATATCTCATAAACAATTTGATTATTTATTCCCAAAACAACTCTAGAAGAAAGCATTCAATTAGGGCAATAATTGCACATGAACACTTGGCACACAGCCTAATACCAGCAACTGTGCAAGCATTAAATTTGATGATGTGTTCAGATCATTCCAAGTACCAACGACGGCATGAATATTCAACTTCCTATACTGCAGTACACAACGTTTTAGGAGGCAGATTACCAGCGAAAAATTGTGGCGACGATCATCTGCGCTCTGGCTATGGACATACCGGGCATGCCAGAAAGCGGTAATTGAACAGATGTCGTAGCCGGGGCAGTTCAAACTCCTTCTGTGTCCTTCCTCCATGTTTGAACAAACTACATATTTCATGAGAATAGTCTGATTGTACTATTAATTTTCAGTTGATGGAAAAAATGTCAGCAGATGAAAACTAAAAGTATATGTAATGATAGAGGTTTGTGATTGGGTAGCTAAATTGTAATTTTTCTTTGCGTGGATTTCTCCCCAATCTAGGCCAAGTATGATGACTTCATGGAGCAGGTCAAAGCCGGTGTTGCCCTCACTCAGTTGACGCCTCCAAAACCGGTGAAACCTTCCAAGGTTGCCGGAAAGGTGAGCAGTTTTTCATGTCATCCCTTCAGTGTCTGGTATTTTCTAGTAGAGAAATGGGCAAGTCCCAGCTTGATCTTGATATTTGGCAGATGCATGTTCTTGCTGAGGAAACATTTTTGATCGGGAATATCTGTTCTGGCTCAATTTTTAAGTAAGCATTAAACTTCATGTTCTTAGAGAATCATTCACTTTCACGTGAAACATTGTGTTGAATAGTCTACTTTCATGTAGTAAGGGAGGAACGCAACATTAAACAAAGGTTAACCAAGGTTTTTTTTACTTCGAGGTACTGCAAAACACCCTGTTAAACTCCACAAAACCTCAAGTTAATTGAGTAGTTTTGCATTTGTCTGTTACCATTGTACCTTTGGCAGCAGTTTAAACTTCTTATTGTCTTTCAGGCACCTCCTAAAATTCCATCTGCTGTGCCACCCAGGGGACCCCCAGGGGTAGGTGTACCCTTTGGCCCCCGCATGGGTGCACCTGTGGCTCCCCCGAGCGCTCCCAGCCAGCCCAACCTCCTGCCAAACCACATGCCACTGAAAACGGGTGCAGAAGCGGGATTTGCAAACAACCAGCAGCACCAGCCGCCGCCAGAGCCCACCCACTCCGGGATCAACGCATTGGAGGAGATCCGGGTCAAGATACCCGAACAAGACCCCTCTCCCCCTATGGTTCCGGTGTCCATGGCTGCCTTCAGCCAGGCACGCGGGGGTCAACCTCAGTCCCAGCCCCAGCCCAAAGGCCCCCTGCCAACCAACGGTGGAGCCCAGAACCAGGCCTGGCCTCAGTCCAATGTGGCCAAGCCACCTGTGTCACTTGCGAACTCGCAGGCTACCCAGCAGCCCTTCGTCACAACTGGTGCCCGAATGCCTGGACCCGGCCTGCCTGCAGTGGGTCACGTTCAGTTGTCCCAGGGGGCGATGCAACCTCAGATGCAGCCCATGAGACATCGCTCATCAGTAACAATGACTTCAAACTCTTTAAATGGTAAGCTCTGAAGATCAGTTTCAAGCAGTCAGTGAAACTGTGTAGCATCAGATTCAAAAATCCTTCAGTCGTCAAGTTGATACAAATTCAATGTCTGGAAATTGAAATCTACTTTTATCGTAAAGACTGATGTTGTGTTGGAAACCCTAATGCTCTTTAATAGTCTTGGCTCTTCTAGTCTAGCAATGTACATGTATGAACCCCCAAGGGGCTATTGCTATTAGCATGCAAAACCTACTCACCACAGTATGCTCACACACCAAAAACCATCAAAATATTCCACCTGGAGCATGCTTTGCTTTTGAAAACCATTCATAATCTTTCATGAAGGGTACTTGAGATATGTACGTGTACTTGGACCCTGTGCTCTGCTGTACAAATTCCGCTAGCACTTGTACACACATAAACCCTTCGTGCTCGCAATAGTCCACTTGTACAAGAGACTGCATGTGTTTTGAACTGAATGTGCACAAAAGTGCAGTAAATGTAGGTGCTTAACAGAAATGAGTCAGGGACCAGTCATAAGAAATGTGCAGTGCATGACTGGTTGGTGAGTGGCTTAAACCTGCCGCGGTATTGTCCTTAAATGTGCGTCAGTACTACAGAAATAACCCACACTTCTAGCCTGGAAGGGTTTATTTCAGCTCTGAATTCATTGCGCAGTATCGCAGGTCTCATTAAACTCTTTGTTAACATCTTATTTGAAGTATTTTGGTTCTGAAGGATTATGTCATCCTTTTTGTTTGGCTTCTCATTGCAACAGGGCCACAGCTGATGTCTTCCGTGGTTTCTCAGAACGTACCCGTGTCTCATTCACCTTCTCCGACGCCGACCCAGATGGTGGGCTCCGGCCCCGTGGGACTCGTCAAACCCCCAGGACCCCAACCCAAGTCCAACTTTGATAAGATCATTTTCCCCCTGCAGAACATGTTTCCGGAGTACAACAAGTGAGTAGAGTCCTGATCTCAGGTGTGGCCCTCTAAACATTTCTTCCACTTGATGTGCCACAGTGCGCAGACACACAGGGGTCATCTCACCAATTTTGACAGACAGCACAAGTTTGTTGAGAATGCATTTTTGCATGGGAGGTTTCATAGATAGGTTCTGGAGGCAGACAGTTATGTGTGTGTGTACAGTTTGCTGTCCCTAACTTAATTGCTCATTCCATTTAGCAATTCAACATGGCAGGCTCAGGTACGCGGCTGATCATGCCTCCAAATACACACCAAATGGCGAATACATGTTAAAGAGATCTCTCCTGTTTCAAGGGGATTAGTGGTTCTTTACTAGTCTTTGACTACCTTGACTGGGTGTCCATATGTGGATTGGGTTTCCAGTCTCTACTTGACTCTTTAGCCTTGGCCTCAAAAAGTCCGAGAACTGTAACTACTTTTCACTCTCTCCCTTCTACTGAGTGTAATTTTCAGGCCAATGAGCGAACAGTATCTAGGGCACTTTTGACGAATGCTTGGTTTTATTTAACCACTTCGTGCCAGGCCCATATATCCATGTCAATTCTGCTGGGCTGGGTGACTTTTAAAATGTTTTTTCTGTTTTCAAAATTCTTTAAAAATTCTTAACTTCATCTACTGGACGTTTACACTCACACGAATGACTCTCTGGTGGCTACTGTAGTCTTGACAGACAACATTCATTGACGCCTGAGTTTTTCACCCAGGCCTGCCACCTTGTATAGCCCAGATTGTGCAGTGTTATGTAATTTTCCTGAAACTGGCACAGTACGCTGCTGACGTCTTTTCTATAGGGGCCTGATTAGCCGGCAGCGGTATTGTATTGCTCACCACTGGAGCAGTTTTGTCCCCAGTGGTAATCCGTTCACGCTGAATGCCACAAACAGTGGTATAATCTTTCAAAACAAATGACAGATTTCCTCTGCTATTCACTACAGAAAAAATGCTGGCAATACCCAGCAGCTTAGTCTTTTGTTCCGAGTCTTTTGTTACAAGGCCCAGCTCTTTTGTCCGGCTTTGGGCTTTGTATATAAAGCCTATGTCCCGGAAACCGGGCATCTTGGCACAAAGTGGTTAACTGGTTGTGGTTAAATGCTCAGTGATAATTATATTAGTAACTCATGCATACACGATGGAACAAATTTTAACGGAGAAAGGTAGGTTATAAAGGACAAATAGATTACATGCTTTACAAAGATGTACGGGATGTGAGCTGTGTGAAGGATGCCGTGATGCCTACCCCCAGTCCCCTCCGGTCACACCTGACTTTCTTGCTGCTGCTTTTCAAAACTCGTGGTCAACGTGTCTGTTTCTGTTCCGTTCGTCCAGGGTGCAGCTGACCCAGGCCATCCGGGAGGTCCGCGCTGCCAACAAAGGCTCCCTGTCTGGTCTGTCCATCGAGGAGATCGTCCAGCGAGCCGCGGAGCTCATCCTTAATCAGCAGAGGGCCGTGGCCCAAGCACAGGTAAACAACAACAGAAATCCTTGAGCTGTTGGCCGTAAAAACTTGTGGTAGCACCATTAAGGCATCTTCTTGTGCTCTTAGTTGTGGAGAGGTCTGTCCTCGAGCAGAAGCACCCCTCTTCAAAGGCTGGAAAAAGCAGCGTTGGTCAGGATTGTTCAGTTTGGTGGTAGCAATGTGACTGGGACACATGCATTTTCTAGTCGTTTGTTAACCAGCAAAGTTCAGTTCTGACCAAAGGAGCCTCTGTTGCTAAGAAAATAGTGCCCTCTCTTGGTCCAGCTGGAGGCCCATTATGGTACTGCTGCAGATTTTGTGATTAGAAGTCTATCTTTTCATGCATATCCTTCCGGTCTTACTCGAGCCCCAACCTGTTCCACACCAGGTAATAATTTATAAAGCGCAAATTTCATGTAGATATATTCAAATGCGCTGTACAATGAAGACGTTAAGTGTGGAACAATGAATACATTTAAACAAACACATAGTTCTACAGCGTATTTTGGTTCCACTGTCACTGTATGATGTCACTTTCACTTTGCATAGCTCCACAGGGTTCTGCCTTGAAGACGATGTCATCTGGCTTCATAAGTTAATTCTCATGCATAGCAGAAATACAGCCGTGAACAGACAGTGTAATATTGCAGTACATGTTTAGCCTGTATTTTCTCCCCTTCGTAATAATCCTGTCGTGCTTTGCAAATTTCCACGCTTAGCATCTCCTTGATACTATTACTCCAAGCCTTTTTTCTTTTTTGCAGCGAGTGCAGTCCCAAGTCAACAGGCCTGCAGCAGCTGCCTCTGTGCAGCAAGCACCTGTAGGTGCCACCGCAGGTGCAGCAGCAGGGCCCTCCCGCGCCTCCCCCCGGCTCCAGTGGGAGCCGGCCAAGACTCAGCCAGTCTCACCCTGGGGGTTGGCCAAGGAAGAGGCGGAGTTTGAGGAGGATGAAGAGGACCCCTGTGTCATCTGCCATGAGGAGATGCTTCTGGCAGACACGGTCACGTTGCACTGTGGCCACAGGTTCCATCCTGATGTAAGTTGCCGGACTTGGCCTGTATACACCAGGGTTACGAGTAATAGGTGTGGCTTACGCATGAGTGTCACCTGTGAAGGTGGACCTACTTATGAGCACCTACATGTCTGGACCTGCATGAGGTCACCCATACACGGGGCTGTACATACATGTATTAGGACCTTACGCTGTGGGCCTGCTTAGATAGATCTACACATGTGAACCTGTACTTGTGGATGTAAAGGTATACAGGTGTAGGCCTGCATATGTGGACCTACACATGGGCCTTGGTGTTCATATGTTGATGATTGACTAGTACCTGCTGATGTACACACATGGTCCTGCACATGTTTATCTGCATGTATGAACCCATCTATGTAGAATCAGCCATTGTCAACCTTGGTGGACCTACTCGTGCAGACCTGTATATGAGGACTTGCAAGTGTAATCCTGTGAATACATATGAGGAATACATATATACATATATATGAATACATATGAGGACCTGCAAGTGTAGACCTGTGAATACATATGAGGACCTGCAAGTTTAGACCTATGAATACATATGAGGACCTGAAAGTGTAGACCTCTAAATGCATATGAGGACCTGCAAGTGAAGACCTATGAATACATATGAGGACCTGCAAGTGTAGACCTGTGAATACATATGAGGACCTGCAAGTGAAGACCTATGAATACATATGAGGACCTGCAAGTGTAGACCTGTGAATACATATGAGGACCTGCAAGTGAAGACCTATGAATACATATGAGGACCTGAAAGTGTAGACCTATGAATACATATGAGGACCTGCAAGTGAAGACCTATGAATGCATATGAGGACCTGCAAATGTAGACCTCTAAATGCATATGAGGACCTGCAAGTGTAGACCTGTGAATGCATATGAGGACCTGCAAGTGTAGACCTCTAAATGCATATGCGGACCTGCACATGTAGACCTGTGAATCTATACGAGGACTGCACTTGTAGACCTATGAATGTGAGCCTACACGAGCATCTCCCCTTGCTTGCTCTTTTGAAATTTAGTATTGAAGTTGTCAAAGCGGCTTTCGAACATCCAACATTTTTGTTCTTGTTTTGTGATGTGATCTGTGAAAACCCTTCACATGGTGAGCTTTGTCGTGTTGGTGCATATCAACTTCAAATTGATATGGACACACTCTTGTTTTCAGATATTACATTTATGATCCTACTTTGTCTTCAGTATGAATCACGGTTGTCTAGAACCACGAATAAAACAGTTTTGAAAACAGGACAGTGTCCAGATCAGTTTGAAGTTGATATGCACCAAAATGACAAAGCTCACCATGTGAAGAGTTTTCACAGATCACATCACAAATGTGCATAGCAGTCCTGTCATCCTGTGACTGACATGAAATCTGAAGTCTCTTGTCTTCTGTTGTTAATTTTTGGCAGGTTCTGACTTCAGTCGGTTTGTTTTGATTTCTCTAACAGTGCATCAAGATGTGGTTACAGGAACAGCGCACCTGCCCCACCTGCCGTAACTACACCCTGCTACCTAATGATTATCCTGCACCCAAATAAAGATCAGTTGAGTATCTTACACTCAAGTAAGTAACTCAAGTTCATCGTTATATCAACAGTAACAACACCATCAATTTGTGTGAATTGCGGTAGTCAAGCGGTTACGGCATATTGGTGTGTGATGCATGGGTTGTGGGTTCGAATCACGGGTCGGAATTGTGGGCAGGGAGGTTTTTTTTTTAAAGGAAAATAAAGCCTGAATGTTATTGGAGCCTAATTTCACATGTGAAGTTTTTATGGTTGGTTGGGCATTGTGCATGGTTGTGAACCGTGGTTTGGCTTCATACGTGTGATTGCATATATA